GAAATTGGAATCTAGTAAACCGTTGTGTGCCTTTACATTGTGTTAGCCTTTCTGAAACATTTACATGCTAATGAAAATTGCCAGGGCAGTTTCCATGAACCTATTTTTATAAGAATTCTGTAGGTTTGCAAGGCAAATTTGTTTATTGTTTGAGTCTTCATGCCTGCAACTGGTAATATAGTCTCTTAAATACTGACTTTGTCTCACTCTGCACTTAAAATCAAAGAATCTTACATGTTCAGAGTTTCCGAAGTGAAGTTTTAATTTATTGGGAAATATCCTCTTACTGCTCCTTAGTGTTGGATGAATTGGCATTCTGATTATAGAACGTCTTTGGAGAACTGCGTTCATCCTGCACGTGATCATTGTTCAGTCAAACAAGAGCTGACAAATAGCTGCATGAGGGCATGTGTTTTTTGTTTTAAGTGAGTTAGAAAGCAAATGGGCTGCAGAAGCATTTTGAAACCAAACTGATCACAGGGTATCATAAATTCCATCAAAATAAATGAATGACAAGTGTGTGGTTATCTTTGGCTCTGTGTCATACTAGAACAGTGTTTCTCAACCAGTGTGCCACAGCATCCTGGGGTGCTATGAGATCCCCTGAAGGGTGCTATGAAATGCCACACCGTGTCAGGAGTGCAAACATCATACACAAGATAAATCCAGGGTCACTTTAAGGGTACCACAGGATGCTATACCATAGTAGCACTGTTAGGTGTACAAACGCCTACATGTTTTACAAGGCAAACCTAGAGATTTTAAATAAGATTCCAATGTTAAAACCATCTGGCCCTGTTGTGGTCTGTTTGAGTTCTTTCATAGAATCACAGAGATGTAGGGCTGGAAGGGACCTCCTTAGGTCATATAGATTCTATTCCAACCCCTGAGGCAGGATCAGCCCTATCCAAATCATACTATATGAATCCATAATCTAAATTCTTAGTAAAACTACACAGTCAATCCTGACACAACACAAGGCATAGCACCCTAACCTGCCACAGGTAAAGTAGGGGGACCACAGCAGCCAACAATTTTGCTTCTATAAGGTTATTAATAAAGATCCTATGAAGAGGACCATTGTCCATGCTACAGAGGAAGGCAAAACCCCCACAGTCTATATATTAATATGACCGGAGGTAAAATTCCTTCTTGCCCTCAAAGATGGTGATGGATCTGACCCTGAGCAGAGGGGCCAGACCAGGAGTCAGCAATTATTTGGGTTCGTGGGCCACAAAGGGAATTTTGCTGAGCTGTCACGGCCAGGTCAGCACTGCAATCCCCTCCCTCCTCCAGAGATGTGGGGTGGAAAATGTTCCAAAACGGAACATTTTCCAGTACTTTATTTTTCCGTGGGAAACATTCCATTTCTAAAAATAAATTGTTTCATAAAATTTGTTAGTAACAATGAATGGATGTCCATACAATATTAGGCAAGCTTGACAGTTTCAAAGTTGAAATTAATATTTTTTAGGTTATTATCCCTAGGAAGTATGTGAGAGAGTACATATGTTTTATTGACTTGTAAACAGGAGGGTAAATACACTCACATATTAATCCAAACCAAAAATCAAGTTATAAGTTCACTTAATTGGCTGTGCAGGCCAAATCAAAACCAAAGCTAAAATTCTTATTTCATCTCAGACTGCAAGTAAAAGCAAAACCAAAACTAATACTGATTAATTTTTGTTTCACTTTTGTCGCTGCCATGCACTGCAGCAAGGAGTCCGGGAGTCTTAGAGGCCGTTAGGCGGGTATTTGTGACGCTTGGAGTGGAATTAATTAGGCGGACGCTTATCGGTTGTAAAAGCAAGATAGTTTATTTACGCCATCAAGGTGGTGAAAGACGGAGGTCAAAGATACTTGGTTAGTTATAGCTTAGAGTTTATGAGGTCGGGCAGAAGGTCGGGCCGGCGGTCGTCGATTATGTCTGAGATTGGGTCGAGACGGGGGGCGAACTGGCAAGCGATTAAATTGCCAGTTTACTCTGACACGTATGTCAGAGGTCTCCAGGTGTATACGGAGTCGCTCTTTCACTTTATGGAAGTGAAAACGGGTTTTATTTGTGTAATAGTTAATTGGTTTTCGCCACGTCATAAATTTAATTAGAATTATCAATTATTTAGCGGTCTTCGCTAGGGTGTTATGACAGGGCTACTCCTCTTTTTACTCTGACCAATTATAATGATTTATGTATAGCACAGAAGGCAAAAGTTTTATCTCTGTTAGTGGCACAGCAATAAATTTCTTTTTGACATGCGCAGCAAATAGGCGGTTATTGACAAAAACTTTTGTTAACCCTTAGTTAATTTAGTGTAGAGTAAGGATGTTTTTGAATGATCTCTTGCTAGTGACATGGGCACTATTAATTGGGTTGTGACAACTTTTAGTTCAGCAAACAGAGCAGAGTCTCATTTCTTTTCTTGAGTTGGGGAAGTTGGAAGTGTTTGCATTAGATCTGTTAGTTTTGTAGTGTTTTTGGTTTGTGTCTTGGACGGCCAGAGCCGACTCGAGGTGATTTAGAAATTGCTCGTTCGTTAGGGCGGGCTGGTGAATGGAGAGGCAGACAAGGTTTAATGGTTGCAAAAACTTTTACTTACGCCGCTTGTAGTTGCGACGCAGACGGTCCGGTCGTCTGAACAACTATGTGAGTTGTTCCAGCTGGCGAGGCCCAAGCCAGTTAATCCGTCCGCAATTTA